CAGCTACTTGGGAGGCTGAGGCAAGAGAATCACTTAAGCCCAAGAGTTTGAGGTTGCTGTGAGCTGTGATGCCATGGCACTCTACCCAGGGCAACAGCTTGAGACTCTGTCTCAAAAAATATATATATGACATTCATAGTTTACCAAAACAAAATATCCAGTTTGCATTTTTTAATCTGACGTTGCTGTAACAGTAGGACTTAACTGCTTCTTGCTCCCCAGGTTTCAGGTGCTACCTCACTGCAGGCCCCCAGTGCCCTTGCGTCCTTGTGGCTGCTTTCAGGGGCTTGATTCTCAGCAAATGAAAAAAAAAATTATTTTTGGTCTCACTCTGTTATCCAGGCTGGAGTGCAGTCATGATCATAGCTTACTGCGGCCCCTAACTCCTAGGCTCATGCGATCTTCCTGCTTTTAGCCTCCACAGTAACTGGGACTACAGGTACACACCCGCCACCACACCTACCTAATGTTTTCCATTTTTTATTTTTTTGAGACACAGTCTCAGTTGGTCACCCTTGGTAGAGTGTTATGCTCACAGCAACCTCAAACTCTTGGGTTCAAGTGATCCTCTTGCCTCAGCCTCCCAAGTAGTTGGGACTATAGGCCCCAGCCACAATGCCCAGCTATTTTTAGAGACGGTGTCTCGCTCTTGCTCAGGCTGGTTTCAAACCTGTGAGCTCAGGCAGTCCACCCACCTCGGCCTCCCAGAGGGCTGGGATTACAGGCTTGAGCCACTGCGCCTGGCCCGTTTTCCATTTTTTTATAGACATGGAGTCTTGCTAGGTAGCCTAGACTGGTCTCAAATTCCTAGGCTCCAGTGATCCTCCTGCCTTGGCCTCCCAGAGCTTCCCAGAGCCCTGAGGATTATAGGTGTGAGCCACCATGCCCATATCAAAGGTTTAGCCACTTTCAGTTTTGCTTTTGCTGAAGGGATATTCTTGTGAACTTGAAGGGTATATGCTTTTGCTAATCCAAGCATCTTTACTGTAGCTTTTCCCCTATGTGGATGGCTTTTGTACTTTCTGTATTCTGTTAGCAATATGCAATTAATGAGGGTGCTGCATATCCTCACTATATTTTTCTTGATCTGCAGGTAAAGGCTGGAACACTTTATCTGGTATTTTATTTTCCTTAGGATTTTTGGCTTGGTAAATTTGTAATGAATCCACCCTTATATGCATGGGGGACCCTTGTATCCTTGGCAGGGATCTGCGCTGCCCATGGTTGTCTGGATGTCCCATGTCTTCAGGGATAAAATTCATTACGTAGCATTTGGGGCAAGGCTTGTGCTCTGTGTTTGTGACATGGGCTGTGGCACTACGGCCATCCTTCCTTGCTGAGGCTTCCCTCCTATCTCCTGCAGCCCCCTGTGACATCCTTTGCTGTTGTGGGCAGTGGGTGCTGTGAGTTTTTCAAATCACACCCAGAAGCACTCGCCTTTTCCTCATAATCTTAGCCTCAGTAACATTGCAGAGTTTCTGCTTAAAAATAAAGTAAAACCTAGTCTTACTAGCTGCATTTCAGGTGTTCAGTAGCCACGTGTGACTGGTGGCTCCCATGTGGGACAGCTTGGAATAGTTTCTAACTGTTGCCTTCCGCCCCTTTTATGCTCAGCATCTGTGTTGGTGTCCTGGGGCTGCCATAATGATTGACCACAGACTGGGTGGCTTAAAACAACAGAAATTTATTGTTTCATGTTTCTGGAGATCAGGAGTCCAAATTCAAGGTGTGAGTAGAGTTGGTTCCTTCTGAAGGGTATTAGGCAGTCCATCCCAACCTCCATCCCAGCCTCCCTCCCAAACTCCCTCCTAACCACTGGTGGCTGTTAGCAATGCTTGGTGGTCCTGGGCTATCAATGCATCACTCTGCTCTCTGTTTTTGTATCTTCACCTGGCCTTCTAAGGAACTGGTCATTGGGTTTAGAGCCCACTCTACTACAGTGTGGCCACATCTTTACTCCATCAGCAAAGACCCTGGGGTTAGGACTCCTGTGTAGTTTGTTGGGGAACACAGTTCAGCCCACACCAGCCTGCCCTATCCCCTGGCTTTCACTTTGTACCTCCTCCTTTTCCTTCCCTGATGCCAGGTGCTCCTGGCAGTCCTGAAGTCCCTTGAGTTCTCCTTCAGCCCTCTTTGCTCCCTGCTGTTTCTGAGAGGCCCACTGTACCCCGTGCCCTGCCACAGCCCAGGTGTTTCCCAAGTCCCATGACTGTTTCCAGCTGGCAGGTGAACTTCTTTGTAGATCTCAGCAGTGACAAGTCCCTGCCTCCATCACTGTCCCCTCAAAACCTGCTCTGTCCTTCTGCTTTCTGTCACAGTAGACATTCTATGAAGGAAGGCTCTGGAATGTGTCCCCCACTCCCCTTCCCAAATCTTGCCCTTCCCCTGGGTTCTTCCTTTTGCCTTTTTGCAGCCATAGCATCCTGGGATCCCCTCCCTGCCTGTGGCTTGGCTCCCATCCATATTCCTGAAAACAGGTGCCATTTGACACACACCTGCAATCCTTTGTCATCTGTAGGCTGCATGTTGAATTCTTAGCTCACCCTCACTCACTCTTAGCCTCTTCCTGGCTTCAGCTGTCCAGTACCATCCACCCTTCCTTTTGTGGCTGGAGCAGTTCTCGCCTGGCTGAGGTGCCTTCCCTAGCCCACCCCAGCCTCCTGGGTTCCCACTCTCCTCTGTGGTTTGTTTGTCATCTGTCTTCCCCATCACACTGAACTCCCTGAGGGCAGAGACTTCATGTGAGTTCCTCTCTGCACACACCACCCCCCCCCAGCATGTCCTTGTCTGAGGAAGAGTAGGTGCCTAGGGGGTCAGTAAGATACACCAAGCAGGCAGCATAATGAATATAAGGCAGGCTGTGGGTACAGAAGGCTGATGGCCCAGGTTTATAGACAGTGACAGGCTGGGCCCCTCCCACCTCAAATCAGGATCTCCAAGGAAAAAAAACAGTAATCACAGTGGTCCAGGAGTTTGTGATGTAGTCAAGGAAGGGATCAGCTGGGGTGGGCTCTAGGCTAAGAAGCCCTCACTCGCAGCACATCCAGGATCCATGGTGTGGCCCAGTGGTCCATGTGTGGGATCTTACCCCTGTCCTGTCTTCGTAGGTTGGAGCAGCCTTACTTCAGTGCCAACGCCCAGTTCTTTCAGGCACTGAGCCAGTGCCCCTCCCTGCAGCGCCTGTGCCTGGTTTCCCGCAGCGGCACCCTCCAGCCTGATGCAGTTGTGGCCTTCATGGCCTGCTGCCTACAAGTCGTCGTATGCCACATGTTCACCGGGGAGTCCTTGGCCACGTGCAAGAGCTTGCAGCAGTCACTCCTCCGCAGGTGAGTGGCATGGGCCAGATGTGGCCTTGGTGAGGGGGGCCCTGGGAGGCCTCAGTGTACCATGGTCTTGGGACCTGGTCTCTGGCCTTTGCTGAGTGCCCATAAAGGACTTCATGGAATTAGAGGACACTAGGTAGTGATGGAGTGAGAACAGAGGGTTTGATTGTCTGCAGCTCAGCTTCACATTCCCTAGGTATTCCCTCGGCCACATGGTGAATTTTCTAGATAGTCCAATTCCCTCTTTCCCTGAAGTACAAAAGTATTCATCATTCACATTTTGACATCACTGTTTCTCTGAAGTATAAAATACACACTCCTGAGTTTTTTCTTTCTCTTTTAATTTTTTTCATTAAAAAAAAATAAAAAAAAAAAGAGTCTCACTTTGCCATCCTTAGTAGAGCGCTGTGGTGTCATAGATCATAGAACCTCCAACTCTTGGGCTCTCTTGCCTCAGCCTCCTGAGTAGCTGGGACTCAGGTGCCCGCCATGATGCCCAGCTATTTTTTTTTTTTTTTCTTTAGGGATGGGGTCCTACTCTGGCTTAGGCTAGTCTCAAACTCGTGAGGCAATCCACCCGCCTCAGCCTCCCAGAGTGCTAGGATTACAGGCATGAGCCACTATACCTGGCATCCTCTAACTTTTTATTTTAAAGTAATTTTAGGTTGAATGTTGTGGCTCACATCTGTAATCCCAGCACTCTGGGAGGCAGAGGCAGGAGGAGCACTTGAGGGCAGGAGTTTGAGATTAGCCTGGGTAACATAGATCCCACTTATAATACTAAGAATATTAATAATAACTTTAGAAATGTTGCAAAAAAGAGTTCCCACATACCCTTAACCCATCTTTCCCTAATGTAACATCATGCAATCCACAGGACAGTTATTAAAATGAGGACATCAGCAGGGCTGTACCCATGATCCAATCCTCTGACCTTAGAATTTCACCTGTTTTCCCATTGAAATCCCTGTTCTCCATCAAGATCTGACTCAGGGTCTGTTTTTCAGAGCCCTTTGTGCTGAGTGGTCAGTCTCTTCATCCTTCCTTTTTTTTTTGAGACAGTCTTACTTTGTCATCCTTGGTAGAGTGCTATGGCATCACAGCTCACAGCAATCTCCAACTCTTAGTCTTAGGGGATTCTCTTGCCTCAGCCTCCCGAGTAGCTAGGACTACAGGCACCCACCACAATGCTGGCTATTTTTTGTTGCAGTTCTCACTGCTGTTTTAACTGGCTGGGGCCGGGTTCGAACCTGCCACCCTCGGTATATGGGGCCGGCACCCTACTCACGGAGCCACGGGCACTGCCTTCTTTTTTTTTTTTTTTTTTTGAGACAGAGCCTCAAGCCGTCCCCCTGGGTAGAGTGCTGTGGCATCACAGCTCACAGCAACCTCCAACTCCTGGGCTCAAGCGAGTCTCCTGCCTCCGCCTCCCAAGTAGCTGGGACCACAGGCGCCTGCCACAACGCCCGGCTATTTTTTGGTTGCAGCCGTCATTGTTGTTTGGTGGGTCCGGGCTGGGGATTCGAACCCGCCACCTTAGGTGTACGTGGCTGGCGCCTTAGCCGGTTGAGCCATAGGCGCTGAGCCGGCACTGCCTTCTTCATCCTCCCTTGATCTGTGGTGGCTCCTAAGTCTTATCTTTCAGCCTTGGTGCTTTTGAAGAGCACTGGTAAGTTGTTCAGTAGAATGCCCCCCAGTTACGATTAGATTGATGTTTTACTTTTGACAAGAACATCACAGAAGACATGCTTTGTCCTTCCCAAGGTCTGTTGTAATATTATTGGTGATACTAATTTTGATCACTGGTTTCACTGGTTCAGATGGTGTCTGCCAAGTTTCTCCACTGTGAAGGTACTAAGTTCCTTTTCTAATTACTTAACTTGTGGGTTCGGTGCTTGTGGCTCAAACGGCTAAGGTGCCAGCCACATACACCTGAGCTGGTGGGTTTGAATCCAGCCTGGGCCCACCAAACAATGATGGCTGCAACCAAGAAATAGCCAGGCGTTGCAGCAGGTGCCTGTAGTCCCAGATACTTGGGAGGCGGAGGCAGGAGACTCGCTTGGCCCAGGAGTTGGAGGTTGCTGTGAGCTGTGATGCCATAGCACTCTACCCAGGGTGACAGCTTGAGGCTCTGTCTCAAAATAAAAATTAAAAAAAAAAAAAAAACTGTGGGGAGGTAATTAAAGAGTAAGCAAATAAAAAATTTCTTACTCTGTCTCCTGGGCTATAATAGTGGAGTGATCACAGTTCATGTCAAACTCAAATGCCTGGCCTCAAGCAGCTCTCCTGCTTCAGCCTCTCAGAGTGCTGGGATTACATGTGTGAGCCACTATGTCCAACCACAAATACTGTTTTTGATTCTACTGTGCCCACTCACTTCAGTATCCATTGGTGGATCTTGCCTTAGTCTGCTTTACTAACAAGAATACACGGACTGGGCAGCTTAAGCAGTAGACATTTATTTCTCTGTGAGGCTGAGAAGTCTGAGAACTTGGTGTATGGTGAGGGCCCACTTTCTGATTTGCAGATGTCTGCCTTTTTGCTGTGTCCTCACATGGCAGGGAGAGAGGTCTTGTTGTTTTCTTGCCTCCTTCTCTTCTTGTAAGGGCCCTAATGTCATCCTGAGGGCCCCATCTTCACGCCCTCATCTTACTCTTATTGCCTCCCAAAGGCCCTGTCTCCTAATGCTATCCCATTGGGGGTCAGTGCTTCAACATATGAATTTTGGGGGATCACAGACATGCCGTCCATAGCAAACAGTTATTGCTGTGATGTTTGCCTAGCAGTGATTTTCTGTGTCCTTCATTTCTTTTACATCTGTTAGTTGGTACACTATTGTGAGAAAGGCCTGTCTCTTCTCTTTGTGTATATATTCATTCAGTTATTTATAGTTGTCAGATATGAGTACAGACCCATGGATATTCTGTTATTCAGTTGGTTGTGGTCCATTGCTCTCACTTTTTATGTTATTTAGATAGTCCCAGATTTGGCCATTGGATGTCCATTCACATTGATTCTTTAATATGCTCCTTTCTTTCTTTTTTTCTCTTGAGCACTTGTTTACTGTCTGGCGCTTTGAGACATTCCAGGCTCATCTTGTATTTTCTCTGCCCCAGCCCTGAATTCAGCCATTACTCCAAGGAGTTCTGGTTCTCATTTTTGGAGAGTGGAGAGTGGTGCGTAGAAACCGAGGTCTGGGCATTAGGTGTGCTTAGAACTGCTGGAATGTCACTGTTTGAAGGTCTTCTGGGTCAGTGATTTTTCAAACAGTGTTCTGAGAAGAATTTTAAAGATCATTAATTAAATTATTCTCTTAAGTTCAAAGCACAATAAGTATACTCTTTCTTTTTTTTTTTTCTGAGACAGAGCCTCAAGCTATCACCCTAGGTAGAGTGCCATGGTGTCACAGCTCACAGCAACCTCCAACTCCTGGGCTTAAGTGATTCTCTTGGCTCAGCCTCCTGAGTAGCTGGGACTACAGGTGCCTGCAACAATGCCTGGCTATTTTTTGGTTGTAGTTGTCATTGTTTGGCAGGCCTGGGCCAGATTGGAACCCGCCAACTCTGGTGTATGTGGCTGGCGCCTTAAGCTGCTTGAGCTACAGGTGCCACCAGTATATTCTTTTTTTCTTTTTTTGAGACAGAGTCTCACTTTGTCACCCCTGATAGAGTGCTGTGGCACCATAGCTCACAGCAACCTCAAACTTTTGGGCTCAAGTGATTCTCTTGCCTCTGCCTTCCAAGTAGCTGGGATCATAGGTGCCAGCCACAACACCCAGCTATTTTTAGAGAAGAGGTCTCGCTTAGAGAAGAGGTCTCGCTCTGGCTCAGGCTGGTCTCGAAACTGTGAGCTCAGACAGTCCACCTACCTTGGCCTCCCAAGTGCTTGTTATAGGTGTGAACCATCCTGCTTGGCCTATTCTTTTTTTCTTTTTAATCAACATAATTTAAGTGTGCCATGGAAGTAACTGTAGGTTCAGGTGTGCTGTGAGATAAAAAAGGTTGAAAAACACTGCTCTAGGTGGACAGAGATAGGAATTTATCTGTGTATGTTAACACACATCTATATTTATTTCGGTATTCATTTGTGTGGGGTTTTTTTTGAGATGGAGTTTCACTATGTTGCCCTTGGTACAGTGCTGTGGCATTCACATCTCACAGCAACCTCAAACTCTTGGGCTTAAGTGATTCTCTTGCCTCAGCCTCCCAAGTAGCTGGGACTACAGGCGCCTGCCACAACACCCAGCTATTTTTTTGTTATTGTTGTCATTGTTGTTTAGCAGGCCCTGGCTGGGTTTGAACCCACCAGCCCCAGTCATGTGGCTGGCACCCTAACCACTGAACTATGGGTGCTGAGCCATTTGTATTATATTAAAAACAAGAAGTTCGTACTTATTTCTCTGATTTCAACCCAATATTGCAGGGCTCATTGTAGCCTTCCCTCTTCTTTCTTGCAACTTCTCCAGCAGTGAAACACCTGGCTCTCATTATCCCCATGTGTTTACTGATTTGTTTACTGATTTGTTCAATCCTAGTAAAACAAAAAACTGTTTCAGAATTGTTCACCCACATCCCTGTGACAAATAAATGTACTAATTCAAGTGTACTATTATGTATAGTTTTTTTGGGGTTTTTTTTGAGACAGAGCCTCAAGCTCTTGCCCTTTGTAGAGCGCTATGGCATCACAGCTCACAGCAACCTCCAACTCCTGGGCTCGAGCGATTCTCCTGCCTCCGCCTCCCAAGTAGCTGGGACTACAGGCGCCTGCCACAATGCCCAGCTAGTTTTTGGTTGCAGCCGTCATTCTTGTTTGGCAGGCCCAGGTTGGATTTGAACCTGCCAGCTCTGGTGTATGTGGCTGGCGCCTTAGCTGCTTGACCTACAGGTGCTGAGCCTATTGTGTACAGTTTTTGTTAGCTTCACGGAATCTATTCTAAATACAGTTTTCCAAAGTTACTTAGAATCTTTCTTTCATTTCCCTCTGCCTTCAGTGTAGGTATATTATTTATAATACATTTTATTTGTAATAGGTTCATTTGTTACTGTTTAATATTCCATTTTGCATTGACCCCATGTTTTAATTGATTTTGCCTATTTGTCTTTTGGTCTGTGAAGTCTTCTTGTGTAATTCTGTGAGTCAGCACTGCATAAAAGGGGATGGGTAGAGAAGTATCACTCTTCCTCCTATCATCCCACTCCCTACCTTCTTACCTGCCCCAGGGGTAGCCAGACTCCTTCGGTCTCCTTTATCCATTGTGTTTCTTTCTCACAGATGAGAAACATGGATGTTTTTTCTCCTATGTCCTTCTTTCCTACATGCACCTTGTTTTTTCACTTAATAATAGCTTAATGTAGCTGGGCGTTGTGGTGAGCACCTGTAGTCCCAGCTACTCGGGAGGCTGAGGCAAGAGAATCTCCTAAGCCCAGGAGTTGGAGGTTGCTGTGAGCTATGTGATGCTGCCACAGCACTCTAGGGAGGGCGATAAAGTGAGACTCTGTCTTAAAAAAAAAACAAAAACAAATATATATATATATATATATCACGGAAATTACCAGTTCATACAGCTCTTGCTTGCAACTTTTATAGCTCTGAGTCCTTTTTTTAAAAATTGTGGTAACTACATAGAGCATAAAATGTACTATCTTAACGGTTTTTAAGTGCACATTTCAGTGGTGTTATGCATATTTACGTTGTTGTGCAACCATTCACCACCATCCTTGTCCAGAAGTTTTTTATCTTTCCAAACTGAAACTCTGTTGCCGTTAAACAATTCCATGCTCCTGCCTGTGGCCCCCACTCCCTGGTACCCCCCATTCTACTTTCTGTCTCTATGAATTTGACTGCTATCAAGTGCAATTATATAGTCTTTGTCCCTTCGTGTGGGGGTGGGGTGGGATGGGGGGGCTTACTCTGCATTTAAAAATATTCACACAGGAATGAAATGCATTCCTTTTGAAATTTATTTTAAGGAGCCTAGAAAATAGAAATGAAGGAACCTAATATATTAGTTGAAATAAAGTTCCTTTGACACCCTAAACCCACCAGTATGAATGTGCTTTTTCCTTTTTTTTTTTTTTTGGTTGTAGTTGTCATTGTTGTTTGACAGTCCCAGGCTGGGTTTGAACCCACCAGCTCCATGTATGTGGCTGGCACCCCAGCTACTGAGCTACAGGCGCCAAGCCTGCTTTTTACCTTTTTAGTATTTATTTATTTTATTATTTATTTATTTTTTGAGACAGAGTCTCACTCTGTTGCCCCAGGGTAGAGTGCCATGGCATCCTAGCTCACAGTAACTTTAAACTCCTGGGGTTCAAGCCATCCTCTTGCCTTAGCCTCCTGAGAAGCTAGGATGATAGGTGTCTGGCCAATTTTTCTTTTTTTTTTTTTAGGGGTGACAGGGTCTCACCCTTGATTAGGCTGGTCTTGAACTTCTGATCTCAAGTGATCTATCTTAGCCTCCCAGAGTGCTGAGCCACTGCGTCCAGTCTTATTTTATTTATTTATATTTTTTTGAGTCAGAGCCTCAAGCTGTCTCCCTGAGTAGAGTGCTGTGACATCACAGCTCACAGCAACCTCCAACTATTGGGCTCAAGCAATTCTCCTGCCTCAGCCTCCCAAGTAGCTGGGACTACAGGCACCCACCACAATGCCTGGCTATTTCTTGGTTGCAGCCGTCATTGTTGTTTGGTGGGCCCAAGCTGGATTCAAACCCGCCAGCTCAGGTGTATGTGGCTGGCACCTTAGCCACTTGAGCCACAGGTGCCGAGCCCACCCTTATTTTAAATGCTGAATCCATCAACTAATGCATCACTTTCTATTCTGTTGATGGACATTCTAGGGGTTTCCAGCTTCTCCTCTGTCTGTGAATATCCTCATGTGGGTTTCCCCAGGCACAGGTATACATGTTCTCAGAAGTTGTGTATGGGAGTGTTTGTGAGAAACTGCCAGATTGGTTTACAAAGCAGTTCTCCCAAGCTCTCCTCCTTTGGCTGGCTGTGAGTGTTCTTTGCTCACATCCTTGCCCTGCTCTGTGATGTAGTTCGACTGGTAGATCTTCCTGGTCTTACAGGGGAGAATGTCTGCATATTGTCTGAGGTCAAGTCGTTTTTGTTCTCTGTTCATCAGGTGTGTTTGTTGGCAGCTCATATCTCGTTGTTTGTTATTGTCGCCTTATATCCCTTAGGGACTTTTCTGGTGGGTTTTTTTAGAGAGAGAGAAGGGGAAAGTATGGGCCAGTGTACCACATGACCAGCTCTTCCACTTACTTATTTTTTTTATTCATTTATTGATTTATTTTGAGTTTTGCTTGTTTGCCCAGGCTGGGGTAGTGATCACAGTGGTGTGAGCAAGCTTACTGGAGCCTCCAACTCCTGGGTTCAGGCAGTCTTCCCACCTGTACCTTAAGCAGCCAGGATAGGTATGCCTTACCATACTCAGCTAATTAAAAAACATTTTTTTCGGGTGGCTTATTGTGGCTCAAGGGCAGGGCGTTGGCCCCATATGCCAGAGGTGGTGGGTTCAAGCCCAGCCCTGGCTAAAAACTGCAAAAAAAACCCCCTCAAACCCCATTTTTTTTTCTGAGAGGCCAAGGCTGGTGGATTGCATGAACTTACAGGTTCAAGACCAGTTTGAGCCAGAGCAAGACCTCATCTCTAAAAATAGCCAGGCAGTGTGGCCAGCACCTGTAGTCCCAGCTACTTAGGAGTTAAGAGAATCGCTTGAGCCCAAGAATTTGAGGTTGATGTGAGCTGTGATGCCACAGAACCCTACTAAGGCTGACAAAATGAGACTCTGTCTCAAAAAATAAAACAAAACTTTTTTTTTTTTTTTGCAGAGATGGGGATCTCACTGTGTTGTCCAGGCTGGTCTTGAACTGCTAGCCTGAAGTGATCCTCTCATTGGCCTTCTAAAGTGCTGGGATTATAGAGATGAGCCATCAAGCCTGCCTAAAGATCAAATTTCTTTCTTTTTTTTTTTGAGACAGAGCCTCAAGCTGTACCCCTGGGTAGAGTGCTATGGCATCACAGCTCACAGCAACCTCCAACTCCTGGGCTCAAGCAAGTCTCCTGCCTCCGCCTCCCAAGTAGCTGGGACCACAGGCGCCTGCCACAGTGCCCAGCTAGTTTTTGGTGCTGTTGTTTGGCGGGCCCGGGCTGGATTCGAACCTGCCACCTGAGGTGTATATGGCTGGCGCCTTAGCCACTTGAGCCACAGGCGCCGAGCCTAAAGATCAAATTTGAAGGGCAGCCCCTGTGGCTCAAAAGAGTAGGGTGCCAGCCCCATATGCTGGAGGTGGTGGGTTCAAACCCAGCCCTGGCCAAAAACTGCAAAAAAAAAAAAAAAATCAAATTTCAACATGCTGATTTATAGGGGACAAATATTTGAACTCTTATCAGTCTCAAAATAACTGCCTGCATTGACTTAATATTGGGTCATTCATTGCTGTCTCAGGTTGACTTGAAATGACTTATCTGGTCAAAGCCTTTGCCCAAGATAGACTAGAGAAAAAATTTTATTTTTATTTTAGTTTTTTTGAGACAGAGTCACTCTGTTGCCCTGTGTAAAGTGCTGTCATGTCATCGTTCACAGCAACCTCAAACTCTAGGGCTCAAGCAGTCCTCCTGCCTCAGCCTCCCAAGTAGCTAGAACTACAGGTGCCTGCCACCACACCCAGCTAGTTTTTTCTATATTTCGGCTGGTTTTGTCTATTATTGTTGTTGTTGCTGAGTAGGCCCAGGCAAGGTTCAATCTTGCTGCCTCAGTGTGCAGGGCTGGTGCCCTAACCACTGAGCTATGCACCCAGCTTTTTTTTAGTAGAGACAGGGTCTTGCTCTTACTCAGGCTAGCCCAGGCTAGTCTCTAACTCCTGGGCTCAAGCAGTCCACCCACCTTGGCCACCCAGAGTGCTAAGATTACAGGCATGATCTGGCTGTAGAAAAAATTTTGTTGTGCCTGGCTGAGAAAAAATTTTTATCAGTGTTCTTTTCCTTTCTCATTACGCTGAAGTAGAACAATTTTTTTTTTTTAAATGAGACAGGAAGCTATTTTCTTTTTTATTCCAAATGTCTGAGGCAGGACAACAAGGCTGCCAGCTCATGGCAGTCCTCACAATGATCTTAAAGGGCTAATCTTTGTCTCCATCCTTGGCTGAGGAGAAACTGTACTCCCCACAGCCCTGAGAGAGAGAGGCCCTAGTTTTTAAAGACTTTTATACACATAACCTAAAATTTTATTGTTCAGTGACATTAAGCTCATCTACAATGTTGTGCACCTATCAGAACTTCATCTTTCCAAACGAAAACTCTGCCCCATTAGGCAAGAATTTACCATTCCTCTTTCCCCCCAGCTCCTGACAAACACCATTCTTTTTTCTCTTGTTTGAATTGGTGCAAAGATCTTTTAACTGTAAGTTTTTCGCATCTCTGTGCTTTGTTTAGATCGAGAAGCAGTGGTTATTTGCACGGTTGTGGGTGAAGGTGGTAGATTGAACAGGGATCCTTCCTTCTCCTGGGCCCTCTGTTGTCAGATCTTTTGCCTGTTGCTCCCTTAACCAGCACCACCTCTTCCCTTCATGAATGTGGTGTCTGGGGATCTGGTGCTCTGCTGTTGAGTAGGGACTTAGCTGAGCACCCAAAATTTGTATGTAAGTCAGGAGGAATGACTCCTCATGGGACCTTTGCATGTTACCTGGGGGAGCAAAGCATTTCAGGACCTCTCAGGAGGACATGCTACAGATCATGGAAATAAGTAGGTCCGAGAAGTATGAACACAGTCAAGGGGGCTGCAACTCCCTCCCCAAGTTTTCTGTGCCCCTGCAGATAGGGAGCAATGACAGGAAGGAGGCCCCCTCTGTTCACAGAATTATAAGAAGAGTCGCCAGCCACTGGGCTCTGACAGTCCTGCTGGCCAGTCCTTAGGGTAGGCTGCTGGATTTCTCAGGAATGATCCTAGTTGAGGTTTTTGGCTTCCTTCCTATTGCCTTCCTATTGTTTGTAAAAACAGTAAGTATTTATAATCTTTTTTAAAAATTTAGACTATGTGTCCACTTGCTTTTCAGAGAAAATTCCCCAAGGTTCTACCAACTAGAGGTTATTGTGGCCAGCAGACCCAAGGTTGTGTTCTCATACTGTTTTGTGATCTGTGTGTTTATTTAACACAATACTGGTTGTCTTTTTTATCAGTAAATGAAGCCATAGTGATTATTTCACATACCTGTTTGGTAGCTGTTACATGGGTGTCATGGTTGGTTCTGGTTTGTGGCTGTCCTTGATAACCCTGTTGCTGTGTCACTGACTGTCCTTTTCTTTAGATCCTGAATTTTCCATCTGTGATACCTTGGGCAGGCCTGTGTATTGGCCTTCACTGCTGCACACCTTGGAAACCTCAGCCCATGGATGTGTCCAGTTTTAGGAGAGTTGGATGGATTACAGGCTCCCTGGTCCTCAGCTGAGTGGGCTTGGGGCAGACAGTTGCTGTTGGAGGAAGTAGGGTGGGTAGGTGATCCAGCCCTTCTGCCTGCTCTCTGCCTACTGGTGTAGGAAAAGGCAAAGGCTGGTTGTCTCAGGTGGGGCAGGTGCAGACAGCTTTGCACTGGGCTGTTGGAAATAGCTTTGGTACCTTCTCCCCTCATCCCTGCAGCTAGCCTGCATTCACTGGGGCTCCAACTATGTAGGCTGTGGCTGTGGGACTGGAGCTGACATCTATTTGGGGGGTATATCCTGCCCAAGGGCTTTTTGGACTGGGGCACTCACTCCCTCCTACTTGCCTAAGAGTTGGGGCTTTCAGACACAGCTCATGTGGGACATTCTTAGTCCTGAAGGGGTGACTTTTCCTGCAGAGGTAGGGGCCTGCTTGTATGTTCACAGTGGAGCCTTCTCCAAAGTGGAGAATGTCCAGGGTCACCAAGCAGCTTCCATCTGTGCTCATTACAGAACAGCTGACAGGGCCATGAGGTTCTGCCTGACCCTCACAGCTTTCCTGAGCTAACAAACCTTTTCCTTCTTAGAATCCTTGACACAGTGCTCTGGGCCATTGGATGAGACCTCCCCCTGGACTCCAGGCCCCATAGTCACAGGGTCCCATCTGAGAGTCAGCTCCTGCTGGCTGGGAGCTCCCTCCTCTGGCAGTACCTGCACCTTTTTTTGGGAACATAGCACCTCCCGCTAAATATTCTTAAGTTCTTTGCGTGCATCTTCCTTTAGATTTTAGTTTTGGGGGGCCAGTGCTAAGGAGCGCATCTTTTTTTTGAGACAAGAGACTCAAACTGTCCCCCTGGGTAGAGTGCCATGGCCTCACAGCTCACAGCAACCTCCAACTCCTGGGCTCAAGCGAGTCTCCTGCCTCAGCCTCCCAAGTAGCTGGGACCACAGGCGCCCGCCACAACGCCTGACTATTTTTTGGTTGCAGCTGTCATTGTTATTTGGCAGGCCCGGGCTGGATTTGAACCCACCACCTTAGGTGTATGTGGCTGGCGCTTTAGCCACTTGAGCCACAGGCGCCAAGCCAGGAGCGCATCTTTCCTCATATATTTTTGTGCCCTCTAAGCACAAGCCTAGCCCAGTACTGAGCTTGCAGGCAGCCCCATGGGTTATGGGTCCATAATAGGGAGGGCTATTGATCCCTGATGCTTGGGGCACAGTGTTTGAGGCCAGGCCCAAGTCTTCTTGGCAGTCCTTCACTCCCCTCTTCCATACTCCTGTGTCCCCATACCTGGTACTGTGCCTGGGCCCATGGCTTTCCCAAAGCATTGGCTGCTGACTGAGTGAGAGGGATGAGGGGGTTGAGGGTGCCTTCCAACTCAAAGTGTCTCTGTGGTCCTTTCATGTGGCACTCCCTCCGTGTTGTTCAAACCTCACAAAAGCCCAGTGAGGTAAGTGCCCCTAGACCTTGTTTGGAAACTGAGGCTCCCAGAGGTACAGTGTGGTGCTAAAAGCTGGCACTAGGACCAGAGTTATGGTTTTCCTGCTTGTGTGTCCATGCCAGGCAGAGTACAGGTTTTACAGGCATGGCCCTGTGGGACCACTGGGTTCTGTGCTGGCATAACTGTGTGTCACCCACACCCCTCAAATTCTGCAGATGACAGAGGCTCATGGGGTTGCTGGGTTCAGACCAGGTCTACTGAAAGTCTTTCTTTTCCAGTTTGTGCTGGCAGTCAATCAAGGCTGAGATACAGCTCCAAATACGGCTTAAAGAGGCCCTTCCACAGATGGCCACGCCCTGTCTTCTGGTGGCCTCCCTGCCTGGGCACATTTCTGCTCTGGCCTTGTCATTTGCTGTGTGATCCCTGCTGCAGGTCCTGGCCCCACAGCACAGTCTTCACTGGGCTTTCCAGGCTGGCTCGCCCAGGCCAGGGCACTATAGGGCCTGGCCATGGTGTCTGGCTGTCGCTCTGCCCTCCTGCAGCACCCAGGCCCTGAGCCCAAGGCTGTGCCCTGGCTGCGTTCTCACAGGTCTCCAGCAGATGGCGCCATAGTTTGTGGCAGCCAGCCTGTCTGGCAGTCCGGGCCCACCTCCCACCAAGGGAGATGGGAAGAGGGAAAAAGCTGAGTTTGTTGTCACCTTTTTGAATGGTTTTCCTTTTCTCACCCTTTTGCCTGCCTTGGGGGCTGAGAGGATTACTGAGTTAGAGGAAGGGCCTGGCTCAGGCTATCATCCCTGGAGGGCTCACCTACAAGCTGCAGGGCTGATGTCCTCTCTGCTATCCTGTTTGCTGTGGGCTCTTTTCACAGTCAGCAACCTCCTGTCTACTGACTGGGACTTGTCTTCACACACGTCTGCAGGGCGATCAACCTGTCCTTTTTGGGTTTGGTGCCATGAAGCTCTGGCCCTGCTGTGACCTGGGTTGGGATCCTGGCCCCAGCTCTTAGAAAGTGGCATTGGAGGCTTCCTCCTTTCCTCATTTTTAAGGCTAGCTTAGGACCCCAGGTGGTCATAGATGGGAAATGACCTGTGTAAAACACTGGGCACAGCATCTTGAACAACACACATTTCTCTTTATCTTTTTTTAAAGACAGAGTCTCACTTTATTGCCCTTGGTAGAGTGCTGTGGCATCACAGCTCACAGCAACCTCCAACTCCTGAGCTTAGGTGATTCTCTTGCCTCAGCCTCCCAAGTAGGTGGGACTATGGACGTCCACCCTAACGCCTGGCTATATTTTGTTACAGTTTGGCCAGGGCCGGCTTTGAACCTACCACCCTCCGTATATGGGGCCGGTGCCCTACTCACTGAGCCACAAGCACTGCCCCTTTATCTTTTTTTTTTCTCTTTGAGACAAGGTCTCTCTCTGGGAAAACCCAGAGGATGTCATCCATGTCTATTCTGCAGATGGCACTAGAAGCTGTTCGCAGATGGAGCAATAAGTTGTTTAAAAGTCTGGCAAAAGGGCTTGACGCCTGTAGCGCAAGCAGCTAGGGCACCAGCCATATACAACGGAGGTGGCAAGTTCGAATCCAGCCCCGGGCCTGCCAAACAACAATAACAACTACGACCAAAAAATGGCCAGGCATTGTGGCGGGCACCTGTGGTCCCAGCTACTTGAGAGGTTGAGGCAAGAGAATCACTTAAGCCCAGGAATTAGAGGTTGCTCTACCCAGGGCAACAGCTTGAGGCTCTGTCTCAAAAAAAAGTCTGGCAAAAGGCTTGGCACCTGTAGCACAGAGGTTACGGCGCCAGACACACACACTGAGGCTGGCAGGTTCAAACCTGGCCTGGGCCAGTTAAAACAGAGACAACTGCAACAAAAATAGCCAAGTGTTGTTGCGGCCGCCTGTAGTCCCAGCTACTTGGGAGGCTGAGGCAAGAGAATTCCTTAAGTCCAGGAGTTTGAGGTTACTGTGAGCTATAATGCCACAACACTCTACTCAGGGCAACAGTGAAACTCTGTCTTTAAAAAATAATAATAAATAAATAATATAAGTCTGGTAAACACTGAGAACTTTAGGATTGAAAGTGGGTTCTTAAAAAGTGGAATTAATTTTATTTTGTAGCCTTTGCTTCTGAAAGAGGGGCTACTGTCCATGTTAAGTTGCATGGCTCCCCACTGTGTGCTGGTCTCTAGGACCAGTCTAGTTTGTTACCAGGATGCTATGGCCAACAGGGTTTTACATCTGCAGGTTCATCTGGGAAGAACTGTAGCCTGGACTCAGAGCCCCATGGCTGCAGAGTCTTGGCTCCATGGAAGATGCTTAGGGT